ACACACACACACACACACACACACACACACACACACACACACACAAACACGGGAGAAAGTGATGGTGTTTAACCTACATGGACATCTGTAGTCGAATTATTTGCCAAATTATTAAATGGTGGACTTTAACTGCAGTTTGGCTCTTTCATTCAGGGAATTCATTCATGCCCCTCGCGACAAACGAGATATTTGATTCGAGGAGCTGCTCTAAGTGTGTATTTTTCATGCAATGTTTGATACCGCACGGCGAATGAGAGAAAAAAAACCTCCGCATTTCCCGGAAACATAGATGCACACGGCAGGTTGCGTCAGAAAGCCGCGTGTGTTATTCCGGTCACTAAATGCGGTGAAAACCCTACACGAGGTTAAAGTTTGGTTGTGGTGCTAACATGTTTACACTCGGTGCAATAGTTTGTTAGATATGAACAAACTGAATAAACAAAGAGCACTGGTCGCTCACTTACCAAATCTGTAGAGACAGGACAATCACCAGCAACTAGAGCCGCGTCTTTATGAAGAGAATACTACAAGCGAATCCGGATCTCAGCGTTTGCAGATGAGAACAGCTCTCAGGTAAACAATGATCCTCCTTAGACACGTAAGTTATTGTTGTCGAGCGTCGCATACACTGTAATCCACACGTGACTCTGAGCTCTCACAGAGAGAAAATGAAAACGAAACTTAACTGCAGCAAACTATAAAAGCAACACTTCACGCTTGTTTTGCCAATAGAACGTGGTGTGTCTGCCGTCTAAACACTGTGACAGTAATGAATATTAATAAAGTTGCACAATAGAGCGCGCTGAATGGTTTGAACCAAGCCTTACTCATGCATTAATGCATCACACTGTAAGACGTAATAAGTCTCTGTAACACCCTATTACACCCTACTCTGTAACAACCTATTAGTAACACTCTGGCACAGACGTCCAGTCTACACGCTGGAATACAACGCTATTATGTCATGACCGTGACGCAGCTTCAAAAATTCGTTTCAAACCGGAAGTACTAATTTGCTTGAAATAACGCAAAAACAACCAATTTACACTTTTTAGTGAAATATAGGTGTCCTAATAGTATTTTTAGCAGTGTGGGACACATATACGACTGTCAACAGCTCAAAAATGTGTTTTGGTGTTTCGTGACCCTTTAAACTCACTATTACTAAAACTGAAACTAAATAGAAAAATCAAATAAATGTGTTTACAAAATAAAAACTTACAAAACCACTAATAACACTAACTAAAACTAAAGTCAAATGTACAGTATCTTTTAAAAATAGTGTCAAAAGAAAAAACAAACAAAAAAAATGGTCCAATTGTGATTATTTGAATAGAATCCTATGTAAATGACTGCTCACTAAATGTAATGACGCTCTTTGTTTTTGTCATATGCATTCATTTTAGTGGCAAACAAAAACAACAACAGTAGCAGGGTTAGCATTACAGATGGTATCTGACATCCTAAAAATGTGTTGCCAATTCACTGGGATATTGTGTTTATCAGGTAACACTTTATTTTGATGGTCTGTTTGAGTGTTAGTAGACTTTCTGCTTAATATCTGTTGATTGTGACATTAACTTAACTTTGCAAGTACATGTCAACTTTCACTAACCTTAACCATAAGCCCAAACTGTCTACTTATAATCTAATGAGAATTAGTTGACATGTAACTTAAATTCAACAAACAGACCATCATAATAAAGTGTGACCCAACAGGGAAAAATTTTGTGGCAAGACTAACTGCGACAGAACATTGCCATTCATTATTTGACTTTCACTTTACAACTTTTATCTAAGCAGCAACATCCTGGTCTCCCTCAGAGCCAATAAGAAAGTCAATGAAACTCCAATTCATTGACTGGCCATTTGAAGCTGTCGCCAAAAGACAGTTGATGCCATAGACCCAGTACAGTTTTGATAAAGGAAGGCTTGCTTTGTTCGGGACTTGTGAAGCTGTCCATTGATGGATTTGCTCTTTAGTGTTTAGACTTTCAGCAGTGAAATTTAAACCACACCGAACTAAACTAAACTGAACTTCAACTCTGAAAACTGGTCTGACACAGTTTCAATTTACTAGAACTTCTATGTTAAGCTGCTTTGGCTCAATCTACAATGTAAAAGCGCCAAAGAAGTAAAGATGAATTGAATTGAACTTCTATAAGCTTTAACGTTCTTCATAATTAAGGGTGTGGCCACTTAAGTGACATATATCCTGCTTACTGTTACGAGCCCTTAACTATATTCCAGTCAATGTACTTGGTATCTCTGTCAAATCTATGTGACAGTCTATTGTATTGCTTTTTTATATTAGTTCTTAAAATGATCAAATACTGTGGCACATTGGAGTTTGTTGTGCTCCAATCTGGCCTCCATATTTCCATTGAGTTATATTCTTAAATAATTTTATTCATAAACATATTTAATTTGATCAAACTAATCCTTTAATAATTGTAATTTTATTTAAAACATTAACGCACTCCAGAATCTGACAGATTGATTAACTGTAAGCTATAAAGTAATCATCTACAATTCTAAATAGTCAAATTTTTTACTATCACAGACTATATTTAAAGTATTTATTTATTTATTCTACTGGAGAAAAACAACATAAGTCTGACGCCTAACATGGCTCAATTGATTTTGTTTTTAATCAAATATAGCGTACAGTATTTAGCATGCAACATGTGGCCAGAACATGAACAAGTCACATTTAATTACATGTTTAGCTTAAATTGTTAAACATAAACAAAATGACCCAGGCATTTCCAGTTGCACACACACTCGCATTTTTGCCCATTTTCAAATATATATGAGTGAGCCTATATGGTGAGCCTTCATAAACTTATGGTGGCGTCATAGACAAAATGTCCATATTTTTATACAGTCTATGATTTCAGCATGGTTTTGTTTATACTGTGTGTACAGGGCTTATATTTAAAGTGTTTTGACAATGTCTCATTTCTTGTTTGAAGCACATTGATTAGAAATGTTGATACTGTACAGTAGGTACAGTTCTGATTTTTTTTCTGCAAATTGCCAATAGGACATCTAAGGTTACCTGATGAATACTAAATGTTGTCAGCTTGTGATTCAGCAGTGTTTTCTTTCGACTTAGCTTTATTGGACCTTGATCTCTGCTCTTTCAGCTCTTAATGTTGTACATTTAAATGTGCAGTTTGACAAAGTGGATTTTTTGTACTGTAATTTACATGTTCAACTCAGACAAAATGCCAATAACTTTCACCTTGATTAAATTTTCAACATCAAAATGTATCAGTGCAAAGATCAAGGTCCCTTATTTTAAAAAAAGCATGTGAAAACATTCACACCAGCTCTGAGTAGCTTTTAATTAATGTAGATTTGTTACAGGTTTTAATCCTATTTAAATCGCATTTATGGAAACTCATTTCAAATTGACCTCTCTAGGATATGGAACTTGAAATGGATTTGTCGGCAGGGATGGATCTAGAAAATTATTTATGGGGTGGCATGAAAATGATGAGGAGTGGCAACACTAAATCAAGCATCCCTGCATGTTTTTTTGTGGATTCAATGAATGCTATACATACTGCTTTACAACTAGCTTGCAATGATTGTTTTGTAGGCCTAATCAAACATCCTAAAACAACAGTCTTAGAAAAGTATGACAGTAATTCTCGATGTGATGATTTTCAACTACATTTCATCAACTTTTTTTTATTTTTAATGATAAATATGCTACACACTCACCGGCCACTTTATTAGGCACACCTGTCAAACTGCTTGTCAATGCAAATTTCTATTCAGCCAATCACATGGCAGCAACTCAAAGCATTTAGGCATGTAGATATGGTCGAGACGATCTGCTGCAGCTCAAACCGAGCATCAGAATGGGGAAGAAAGGTGATTTAAGTTACTTTGAATGTGGCATGGTTGTTGGTGCCAGATGTGTTGCTCTCAGTATTTCTGAAACTGCTGGTCTACTGGGATTTTCACGCCTTACTATCTCTAGGCTTTACAGAGAATGGTCCTGAAAAAGAGAAAATATACAGTGAGCAGCAGATCTGTGGGTGCAAAGGTTGCCTGGTCTGATGAGTCTTGATTTCTGCTGCAACATTCTGATTGTAGAGTCAGAATTTGGTATCAACAACATGAAAGCATAGATCTATCCGGCGTTGCATCAACAGTTCAGGCTGGTGGTGGTGGTGTAATGGTGTGGGGGATATTTTCTTCGCAAACGTAGGGCCTATTAGTAACAATTGAGCATTCTGTCAATGCCACATCCTACCTAAGTATTGTTGCTGACCATGTGCATCCCTTTATGACCACAGTGTACCCAGTGATTCTCTGTTGACTACTTCCAGCAAGATAACATGCCATGTCATAAAGGTCTAATCATCTTAGACTGGTTTCTTGAACATGACAGTGAGTTCACGGTACTCAAATGTGCACCAAATCTTAATCCAATAGAGCACATTTAGGATATGGTGGAATGGGAGATTTGCATCATGGGTGTGCAGCAAATCTGCAGCAACTGCGTGATGCTATCATATCAATATGGACCAAAATCTCTGAGCAACATTTCCAGTACCTTGCCGAATCTTTGCCACGAAGGACTAGCAGTTCTAAAGGCAAAAGGTGGTCCAAACCAGTACTAGTAAGGTGTACCTAACCTAAGTGGCCGGTGAGTACGTAAAAATACAAAAATACTAATAATTTACATATTTGGTTAAATAAGGTGTGATGAAGTTCAAATATACTTATTTGATACAAAATAGAGGTCATACATTATCTAAAACAGAGGACATACAATATTAGCAGATTTATTATTTTAAACACATTTTGAGCTTATAATGCATTCCTTTATGTATATAGTAGCAATATTAGTACACAAAATATGTCTCAGCGTAGATTACACTAATATAAAAGAATAATGACCAAATTGGAAACTATATATATATTTATATATATATATATATATATATATATATATATATATATATATATATACACTGTTAAAAATTGCTGTTAATTTACGGCAAAATTTTAACAGTATAATCCTGTTATTGTCAAAAGCAGTATGTTGCTGTTTTTTTACGGTTTTTGAAATGACGTAGACGAAATTTAACATTATTTTACTGTTTTTATCACACCAATGTAAAAAAACAGCAATCAACAGTATTTTTTGAACAGAAGACGTCAGCCATTACATGTGGATTTTCATGCTTCTTTTAACTTTGACTTACTCGGTGAGTGCACCTTTATTTAGCTAATTTTACACAAAATACACATTTGTGATTGCACATAGGCTAACTGGATGCTGATATTGTAACTTTTTTACATCTATTTTAGTTCTAAATCAGTGTCAATGTGCAAACTGCATCTGCATTGAGTGGAACTGGATTTCTGACACAGATATTTCCTGATTACATGGTAAGTCAGACTATGATAATTAAAAATGATATAGGCTATAAGCGTATCTACAAAGTCAGTATTTAAACATATGTAGCAACAAAGTAGTATTGATTTAGGTAGCATGATGAAAAGATTGTCATCTTATAGTTAATTTTAGCTTTAGCTTTTAAGAGCTACCTAATATGGTTTCAATGTAGGCTTTGATAAAACATTTTTCCCCTAATGCTGTGTTTAAAAATGTTACTGTTGTTGGTTTGTATTGTAATGCTACTTTGTCGAGTACAATTGGCTAATCACCACGATAAACTGTTTTATACAGTATGTCCTTTTCAGCGCTGAACCTGTGAACATGTGAACATGCTAACTGCATCATAGAGTGGAGCTGGATTTCTGATACAGATATTGATTTCTGATTACAAGGTGAGTTTAATGAAACATGATAACATGGTAAAGTTATTATTATTGTCTATATGGTATTATTGTCCTAATAACTGAAAATACAATTAAAAAATGCTATGCATACATTATGGTTGTTAATTTTGTCTCTTTCCTCATCATTGTAATTCTTGTCTTAGGCATCTTCTACTGTACCTGATGTAGAAAAGACCCTTGAACTACCTGCAATTCCTTGACTGATACTTTTTGGTATGTTTAGAACTGTATTTTATTACTTATGCAACTAAAGGTGTTTTCTCTGTATTTTAGCAAACATGGTAAATTCTTTTAAACAAAACAAAATACACAAATACATAAAATAAATGTTCTGTCATATTTTACCCAAGCTTTCATTCACCTTTGGAAAACATTATATTAAATTCACTAAATTACTCAATTTTAGTTGTTTAACACATCAGCTATGTTGATCATAAATATTAAGTTAAATAAATCACAAACATTGCAGTGACAATTTCACAATACACAGTATATACACGTTGATTTCAGTGGCTGTCCAGGCGTGTCCACAATCAACATTTTCTAATGCATTTATTGTGTTAAATGAACAGGGCTTTGAGACTAAGTAAAATTATGTCAGCTTCCCTCACATATATTTTCAAATAGGCAGTAGAAAATATAATTTCATGTGACTGCTGACATTGTTTTTTTCTTTTAGATGTTTTAGGAAAAAAACAGGAAGCTACATTCATAAATGGATGATCAGTTTTGAGGGGCAAATAATCTGAGAGAGCATCCAGCCATGTTTTCTGTCTGGTATAGCTGCTGTGTTTTCAACTTACGACATTTTCGATGTGGAGAACCAAGCTGAGGCTGCATGCACATTGGAATTAATTCAGAGGTTAGACGATTAAATTCATATATTTATTTCTCTTCACATTATTATTGTATAAACTTTAACCCACACTAATTCTGAATGTGTGCACTTTTTTAGGAGCTTCATTGGTAAACCCTAAGGCTCCAAGAGTGGACACATCCTATCGAAGGGAATGGGGAAGGTCACCCACAAAATGAATTCAGTCAACACTAAGGTTGCCAGTTTACTTAAAGAAGCTAATGGACTTTGAGTTGGATGTCATATAAGTGTCCCCACACACACACACACACACCTTACACATCCTCTTCACTAATGGCACTCATTTTATTGTGTTAGTCGCGTAATTTTTCAGGTGTATGTTCTTGAATACCTAAACTGTTCATTGCATTCTTTTTTATTTCTTAATGACTAATTCTGTAATTCACTCAGAAGTTTTCAGAGTAGTAATTGTTGGAGTAAATCTACTTGGTTTTCCATAGCCACTAATTTTGAAATATAATAAGTGTAATAATAATTTTGAAGTGTAATAAGATGTAATAAAAGTTAAAGTTACACTGCATTTTTTTATGTTTCCAATAAGGCTATATGTGTGCATTGTATTAAACTGTGTTTTTATAACAAATAAAAAATGTATATATACCCATTTTCTTAGCAGTTCATTTCTCAGGATAACATATTTGTAGTTTACAGTTAAAAATTCAAATAAACATTAATTAACCGTTAATTTTGACATTAAATTACTGTTAATGTAGTAAATAACAGCTTTATGCTGTATTTTCTAAAAACAGGAACAACCTGTAAATTTCAACTACAGCTAGATGCTGTTAATTTAACAGTAACTTGCTGGCAACTGTGCTGCCAGTAACTTACTGTTTTTTAACGGGACAATTTTTAACAGTGTATATATATATATATATATACCCACTGTTTCTAGGGTTTGATTTGTTTTTGTTTTGAGAGAACATGATTCTGTTTTGGAGCAGCCTTATGAATTGATATCGAAGGCAGTGACACTTTTGAAGGCAAACCCACCACCACCATGCTTTGTTGACCACTTTTAATTAGGCAGCACATTGTGCCGTGAGCTTCCCCACTTCAGTCTATGCCTAGTCAGTAATTGCTAAATTTACTGTAATCACTGTGAGAAAAGCAGAACTTGATGGCCTGCCAGAAACTCCTGTGTGGCAAACAGAAAAGGGGGAAAAGAGAGAGAGATTGACTTAATTAGCCACTTGTGCTTTCCATGCATCTATTTGTCAAATTGTGTTTAATATCAGACATGTCAATATTTAAAAATACAACATATTATAACACACACTAATTTATTTTATGAGCATAAATACTGTATGTATATATATATATATATATATATATATATATATATATATTAAACAAAATGCATTTTCAGCATATTCAGATTGTCGTATATGCAATGGTTTTCATCACAGCACCAAATATTTTCAGATTTATTAGGATCTTTATGATCAGGCACAAACATCTCATCATAAAACCTGCCCATTATATTGATTGAAACGTTTATGACTGTTTAAAGATCTGTTTATAGATCTGTTATACTTGTAAAGCATTTATTCATCTTCCGCTATGTTAATTTTGTTAGTTGACTTTCAATTTGACATTAAAATCAAACGTTCTCAAAAAATGTATCTATTTCTCACTGTTAATGTTATGTAATTGTATTATAGATTTATTACAAAGCCTTGTTATGTAACTTTTTTGTGCAAATGTAAAGCTATTATTCATCTTAGGCTATGTTAATTTTATTAGTTAACTTTTAGTTAGACATAAATATCAAAATCTTAACTGTGTTATTTAATGAAGCTTTTAAAGTAGAGTTTTATTTTCTCAATAAATACATTTTTTTAACAATTTTCTCAATGTTAATGTTAGGTAAGTGTATTAAATAATTATTATAAAGCCTTCTTATTTCACTTTTTAAGCAAACGTAAAGCGGGTATTCATCTTAGGCTATGTTAATTTATTAGTTAACTTTTTACAATAAAATCGCAAGCTCTCTTTTTGGAGGCAAATTGTCCTCTGGTTGTACTGTTACCACTGTTGATATTCCACCTTGTCCGATTATTGGTTTATTTAGGGTTCTCCCTCCCAGCCACACTTTACCCTCTCATTTTGTAGACTTTATAGCCTTCCTAACCCTTCTGACTTGATTAAATCCACTGAAATGGAAGAGCCCTTACCTTCCTTCTCACACTTGTTGGAAAATAAATGTTGTTTATTTTATGAAATTAGAGAAAATTCACTGACCTATTTTCATTAAATTGTTGTAATACCTTCGCAAACATGTCCAAACTCTTCAGCTTGATCCTGCTCTTCTGATCCCCACCCCCTACTCACAGCTTGACACTGGAAACTAGTTCTGGTCAGCATATTTTAGACCTATATATGTAAGATTGCAATAGTGTTTTTATTGATTTATACATTTCTAATTTTATTAAAATAATTTTTTTTTGTTTTGTTTTGCTCAAAAACTCTTTAGTGCATTTGCTTATTGTTACATGTTTTTGATGTCCTTTTTGTATATTTTTATAATGTGTTTTACAATGTGTAAATAAAACATTTTAAACATTTTAGTCCTTACTGAGTTATGTCATGCAGCTTTTAAAGTAAATATTGTTTTAACTTATTAACATTCATAACAAATCTATCTATTTTTTTACTGTTGATTCTACTTGTATTATAAGATTATTATAAATCCTTGTTAATTACCTTTTTTCTGTAAATTCAGTTGTTTTAGAAATTCCGGTTTTTGCATATAGGGAAAATATTAGGAATATTAAACCTAATTTATAGGTCAAACTACTTGCTCTACAAACCATTTTATGACAATACTTAAAAAAATACATAATAAGAAAAGTAATAAGATAATAATGAGCTTTTTTATAACTAAAATTTAATTGAAGAGAATGAGAGCAGAAATCTAGAGCCAATAAGGTTCCAATGGTTGCGTCCGCTCATTTGTGAAAGAATTAGGTCAATAAAGTGTTACTTACAGTACTTTATGTGAAGCTTTGGCAATTGAATTTGTTTTAAACATTTGTTAACTCTTTTTAACATGCCCTTTAAAGTAACCCATATAAGCAGCTGAATGACATATCATTAACACTGTACCATACAAATATCTGTAAATTAGGAGTTTTCCATATTTAGTGACTCATGTTTTTATTAATTTTTTCATTTTTTAAAAAAATTGCATTATGAGACCATGCTTTTTTTCCAACAACATTTAACCTTAAAAGTTCAGAAAAAGTGACTTTATTAACATCTTTTATAGTGAAGTATTTTCTGATTTGGTGTTGTATATTATGCTACAAAAAGTACTTTTTTCTGTCATTTTACAAACATATCTCTCTATATGTCATGATTTTATTCAATATATTATTTCAAACTACTAAAATGTCAATAAAAGTCACTTTGTTAAACTATCGAATTGAATTTCCAACATCAAAAGTCAGCAGGGCAGAGATGAAGCTCATACATGATGCAATTCACAACCGAAAATAAATCAAAAATACTTGAATCACAAAATGTGGAAACTGTTAATTAACAGATACTATTTTATAGTGTATCTATCATGTTAATACAAGAATTCAATACAATGCCTCACATGCCATATAATAAGAGAATAAATAACATTGGAATCAGAAAGAGCAAGAGAAAAAAATGAAAGAAGGAGATGATCAAATTAAAGCATGAATTAAATAAAGCTGTACATGAATGAATCGAGCATATGCGTGACCTGAATGAACTTTTGTTTCGAGCTATAGCTGTATTTCTGAATGTGGGTGTATGGAATAACGAGAGGCTTTAAAACAGTATGTCCATTTCTTCTTTGAAAGTCTCCAAAACACCATTTTTTCAGAGCTCTCCAGTGTCTGGCAGATTGCTGCTAACCACACTGTTTTGGAACAGTGGATTGCTGTGCTGTTTTCTACATACTGCATCTATTTTTTCATGTTTTTGAAATGTCTACTTCTCGAGCACAGGAAGCATTGTTTGGCTCCTGATGTAGGCCATCCATGATGAACAGAATAACTGAATCTTGTCGCTTAATAGGAGTGAGTTTTATTTTGTGTACTGGACATAGAGAAGTAAATAGCTTTGTGGCGTTTCAAAGTAAAATAGAAGATTGTGGGTTTGAGATATTTAGCTTCACTTGGGTATTCGGCACATTTGTACTGCGTGTTTACGTCTGTCAATTGTAGCTCTTCTCAAAAAAAATAAGCACTTTTTTTTTAAATAACCTTCGTTCAGGTGCATGGAACAACATGTCTACATGCTGGCTTAAGTGTCAAACAGTTATGTTTCCATGTTGTTCTAGCTGTACCAAATAACACAGC